TATATATATATATATATATATATATAGATGCAGATGCAGATGTAGATGTAGATGCGCCTATGGTACACAGACACAGGTATAACAATGTTTATATATACGCTTGTGAATGCATGAATACTGAGCATCTCAGATGTATATTTGCGCAGGTATTCACACGCCTGACCACGTGTAGTATACACCTGAGCAAACAATTACATGCTACGGCGTATGCTAGATCCAGGATAATATATGTAACATATGAAGAACCTGACTACAAATTGTAGCCGTACTCATTATGTATATTTATATATGTAGTGCATTATGTAGAACCAAGTAAAGGTCAAGATGGCATTGAGATGGCATTGCATATATAAAGCGTGCATGTATGTGTGCAGTCTTTGTAGTTGCGCAGGTACCGTATATGTTGCGTTTGTAGTAGTAGACTTTCCTTATCAATGTTGCTCGAGTTCACTTGGGCATACTATTCCTTCATTGTGCGTCCATATCTGCTATTGGTGTTTACGCAGGACGTGGACACGATGGCAGTGGACTTGTCGCAACACATGGTTCGCGTTGAACCGGCGGGGCAGTTTCTGGATGTGGCCTACGCCTCGGGCTTCACGGATCCACAGAACTTCAGGGGCCGCCTATTACAGTTCATGAGGTAGTTTCAACGCAGTATATGTAATACATAGTGAGGTGTGGTGCTTATAACGCAGCAGCCTTCGTTTAATGATTTCTGAAAATAAATCCGCAGAGTGTCTTGGCATTTGTTCAGCCAGGGTTGCGTTGTAGTGGCAACAAACATTTTGTGGGTAAAGTTGCTACTTTGTGCTATCATGTACTAAACGGGCGCAGCAACTTACCACTTGGATACATGTATGATTGGATATACAATAGTTTTAACTTAAATTGCGTGGGGATAGGGTTAGGATTCATGCTGCGCCGTAAGTTCGCGGTAGGTAGAAAGTGCTGTTAACAGCGCTGCTATGCTTCGCGGGGGTAGAACAAACTGTACCGTGAATGGCTCGCTGTTCGGAAGTGGGCTGGCTTAGTGTACTGAATGCCATCGTGTTTTGCAGTTCTGGTCGGCGAGTTCTCGATATTTTCAGTGTGCAGTGCGTTCCACCGTGCGTTCATGTTCCGCCGTTGGTGCTACTTCACCCGCATATCTCCGTTTCACTTCAGTTTCGTCGTCTATTACAGATCTGGTTGTTCGATTCCTTATACTTTTTGTATGCACTGATTTCTGCCATGTTTTTATTTCTGGTCGTTTGTGTTACTTCAGCTGCGTACCTGTGTTTCACCTCTAGGCTTCTGCTCGGGTTTGGACTCAGTTGAGATGTGTTGTTGCACTTGGCCTGCATTGCTTTGCCTTCCTATTCTCCATGGTTGTACAATTGTTCAGTGAGTACAAGATGGCGTCTCTGAAGGCTCATATGAATGACGAGTCGCGAACTGCCTCGTCTTGTTCATTTGACCACTTGCGTCAGTCGCCGGCGCGAGCCCATGACTCTGGGGAGAGCAAGCGGTTCGCCAGGGGCGCTGTGGAGACTTTCGGAGGACTCGGGGGGGGCACGGGGGAGCGACGCCGGTCTCCCTCACCTTCGGCGCCGAGTAGGTTTTGCTCCATGTCCGTGCGTGAATCCGGTACAGCTTCTCTTTTTTCCAGCGAGCGCGAGGGTGAGCGGCTGCACTTGAGTAGACGAAAGAAGCACGGCATGCAAAAACGTGAAACAAGCGAAAACGCTCTAGCTCTTGTCGCAACGCAGCCTCCAGAAACCAACGCCAGTCTAGAGGCCAGACTGCCAGCGACAGGTGGACAGAGTAGAGGCAGGAGTTTGTGGGGGAGCTTGCGTTGTAGGTGCGTAGAGTGTAAGCATCCGCGAGACCTCAGCGCACTTGACAACATGGGTTCCGGCACTTCCATTTGCTGCAGGTTGTCTCCCTGCCCCCACCCCAGAGGAGGTACAGGCTGTAGAGCTCAGTCACAACTCCTCCACGCTGCGTTTCGACACGTTGCCCCTGTTGAGGCTGCCCGTTCTCCACCACATTGAAATCGCCGCTACGAACCTTGAGGATACCCTCAAGTTCTACGAAGACGTAAGCAATGCAGCCTCCTGCTAATTCACATTTACTTCACCTTTGCAGTAAAACGTGTGGGAGAGTCGCTTGCGTCGTCAAAGAAAGCAGCTTGGCTCTTTAAGGGAATGGTAGGCGGCTTCTGCGAGTGTAACTGCCCGCCTTATCGTGCCCTCTTGGTGTCTACGTGGCATCGCCTTTCCTTATTTAGATTTTTACGAATGACATCAATCACTTATTTCGGTAGAATGTTTTGAACTCGGCTTTGTGAAGCTTGTCTCATTGTTGTTGTGTTTATCTACTCTCCCGCCTGCCTTCCGCCGTGTTTGCTAGAGTTCTGCACATGCGGATGTACGTGGAGAATTTCTTTTCTTGGAGGCCTACGGTTTGTTGTGTTGTTGCGTGTTCTTCATGAAGGTGCTGGGCATGACGCTGATAGACAAGAAGACCGCCGCGGGTTTTGGCTTCACTCTTTACTTTCTTGCTCTTGAATCTCCGACGAACGCTTCACTCCATTACTGGTTGTGGGTGCAGCGCTTTTCTTCTATCTGCATTAAAGTGAGGGGGGAGACGCAGGGAATGTAGCACCTTCTAAAAGGTTGCGCGTGAAGAGGATCTTCAGATCGCATAAATATTTTAAGTGTCTTTGTTTGTATTGTAGTATTTCCCGGGTCGTATGCTTTTAATTTTTGCTGCTTGTCATTATTCTTTCCATGGGGTCTTTTTTTGTTTCCGGAACTGAGCCATTCCATCATACAATAGTTCCTATAACTGCGCCTTCGCTTCTAGCGCAGTTGCTCGTTCATATGGCAGCCCCATGTCACCAAAGTCTTTGTGCCGCTCCTCTCCATTTACAAACCGAAACCGGTCATGCAGGCCGCCTTCGTTTCTTAACGCACCTGGCCTCTCCTTCCGCTGTGCTGGTGAGCTGATGCTTGCCATCTGGGTGATGTTTCTTGTTTATCAGGTACACACAGACGGCACCCAAGTGGCACCGTACGAAGACCTCGAGCCTTCCGAGTGCGGGTTTTTGGGCATTTCGTTTCTTTGCGCAGAAAGTAAAGAAGAAACACTTCTCAGAAGAATCAAGTCAAAGAACGTCAATATCGGTTTTGTGGATGATGCAGTGTACGGACAGAAGGTCTTGCTGCTAAGAGATCCACAGAACATTCCTATACGCATTGCTTTTACAAATTAACCCACAGGGGTGCATGTACATCTGTATATATTCTTGCATCACTTTATTTACATGTCTATGCGTTCTTCTGACTGCGTATATATTAATCTGCACGTTCGCATCAGCGTAGGTTTGGTTTGTATATTTACGTATATGCCAGAGTGTGGAACTTCGCGCCAATATTTATGCATTTTTAGATTAGTGACTCTCTGGTACGCGATGTACCTGCCAGCTAACGAGCCATGAAGCACCCGGTTTATCGAAACTTCCTGTGGCATTTGGTCTCTTGCCATGATTCAGAGGCCAACAGCTCCTCCCAGTAAACAAGAGGATGGCCATTTGGCAGCGTTAATCAGTGTATTTAAGTTTAATTGGCATCGATTTGACGCGTTTAGAGTATGATTGAAAACAGTACTGGGGACTAGGGGACGCACAGAGGGTTCTTATTATGTCTGTCTTGTGTTATGTTTCTTCTTTGCTAACGACCAAATAGGGTAATGCCGAGCCAACGAGCGGCATGTATGGCTGCGGTAGGGATCCGTCGATAAAGTACTGGACAAGTGACGTACCACACGCACATCAGGCGCTTTTCTCCTTGCTGTTTTTTGGAAACCTGGGGGCTTGCTTTGCTGGGGGTGGGCTATAGAGGGCAAATGGATGAAAAATAACGACGAAATCTGCTTAGGGACTTCGGTCGTTGATGCTTAGTTTTACGCTGGAAGATGACGCCTTGTTATTGCCTGTTTAGTTGCATGTGAAGACCGCTCAACACCCAACAATTTTGTTGAGGCAACGGAAGTGCCCTTTACACTTTGTAGTGTGAGCTTACTGCAATACTTGCGTACATGGCCTCTCTGCTAACTTGGGGTCACTAGGGGTCCATCGCAGATCCAATGTACGGGCGTCGGTGAAGGGAGGGCAGGTTGTACCCCGTACATTCCCCACTGGGTCGCTTGGAACGCCTCTAAAGCCAGACAACAATGGCGTGATTTTGATTACCATACTAGCGGGAAGACGCGTTAACTATGACTAATGGAGACCAGGCAAATAATGAAAGAAGTACCAGCATTCCGCCTGTACACACCCTGTTGATATCTCCAGCACAACACCTCACCGGCCTCCTTCATATTCGGTTTAAGGAATACTTCGCTTCTTTCTACAGCGAGAGCCCTTGTCTTCTATGAAGGTGCTGGCGTAGCCATGCGCTTCTGTTAAGGGAAGGACGCTCTTTGGCGCCAACACGTTCTCCTCCGCATGCATTCATTTGTCCCAGTGAGCTTCTAGCAGACTAACTACTGCTTTCGTCCGAGCAGCGGGTGGCGGTTCAAGAACTGCCAGGGCGGAGTTGCGGCAGAGTATTCTACAACTGGCCGGCATCCTGTACTCACAAGCTCCAAGAGCATGAGCAGTTCTGCTTAAAATGCCGTCAAGCGGGGCAACGCGCAGCTGCACCCCTTTCTGAAGCTTTTTATTGCTAGTACCGATGAGATTGCTCAGCTAAGCAGAGGGACCTTGACTCCCCTTCTCCCTGGGACGCTGTGGGCTGCCTCAGACTGTAAATTGCTTAACTTAGGCAACTATTACCTGTCGAGCATTGCCATGCAGGCAACTGGGGCTGGAAGGGGGGCAAACCATATTTGTCCAGGATGTACGCGTATCTCTGTACAACTGAACCCGTTTACATTTCGAGGTGTCGAAAGAAAGTCAAGCTATATTATCAATAATTGATGATTTTCTTCTATAACTACACACAAAGTGGTCGCGGAACTACTGTGTGGCGTGCTGGTGCGTCTTCATACACGTGGCCGAAGCATTGTGGCAGCGCCAACGGATAACGTCAAGATATGCTTTCACACATTCCTATTCAGAAACAATTGCCGTAGACGACTTTACGGACATAGCAGCAGCGCCTCCGATACCAGAGCACCGGCAGCGTGCCCGCGCTCGGATATAGGCACAGGCGGTATCGCTGTGTTTGCTTTTCTGTTGGTTTCGCAACTTAAGCAGGCCAGCTCATCCGCGGGTATGATGTCTAAGGCGACGAGATAGGTGATCTACTTCCTTCGGAGTGATCTCCGGAAACCCAAGCCCGAGGTGTTTCGATTCGTAATCACAAGGTAATTTTACCAAATAAGTTTTTGTAGAGCGCTTGCTCACAGCTGTAAAGGCGCCATCGGCGGAAGCTAAGCCATTACGTTGGACTGCCTACCGCAAGTACCAAGAAGTTAATTAGAAGCGGAACAGAGATTACTCGGACTTTGCTTAAGCAGCGAGAAGTTTGCGCGATTGAATAGGGAGCCAAGAACGCGAGCTTCTAAGGGATGCAGGGAAGGCGTAGTATGGGCCATTCTCTGCAGTTCCAGGCACATGCTCCAGCAATGAAGACTGAGGCCAGGGCTTTACAGCGCTTGCTTTCATCCCTCTTCACTCTAGAGTACTGTAACGGCGCAATCATAGGCCCCGATTCTAGCAAGTCTTGTGGAACCCCTAGGCCCTCCGTTTCGCTATTTTTTTCCTGAGGCGTTTTCATTGACTTCCCCGCTCATTTGGCCAGCGTGATGCACCAGTTTTCATATGGAGTTGGGCCTTTTGCTCAAACAGTAAACCGTTCCACCAAAATTATCAGTCTAAGTAAAAAACATTTCACGGTGGGGTTTGAGATTCTTTTTCAACGGTTAATGCAGCGCTGCCGCACGGAGAGAAGCAGCCCTTAACCAGCTGGGCCGAGGACGGAACACTAGGCAATGGACAACTACGTCAAAACACATCAAAAACAAGACCACTCCACCGCCTTAGCGGGGAAGGAATAGCTTTTGGAAATTACCCAGATATCGAGGTGGTGGATAATGAGGCTGTGAATGCCAGCTCCGCCAAGAAAGAGGACAGAAGGCAGTCGCCAAATTCGGTACTCATGAAGACGGGAGGAAGTACCAAGGGGCAAACTCGCTTCGTTTGGAACAAACAAAGCCACATCGCATGCGGTTGTCGGTGAGTGGAAAAAAGGCGTAGGAACTGGCGATGCAAGGTTTTGAGTAGCGTCGTCATGGGACAAACGAAGCGTGTATGCATTTTGCTGTCACTTGCAGCAGTGCTTGTACATTGTGCTAGGATCTCCACGCTCGTTTCTTCTTGGCACAGTCACTTCATTTCTCATGCCCACCGTAAAGGAGGCAAGTGCTACTGGGAGCGCTGAGAGGTGCACGCACCCACCGGCAATTCGACCGGCATAGCGTCTTCGGGAAACTCTGTGCGCGCCTTCCATAACGTCACCGACGGCATACCTAGAATTATGCTGTGCTGAACTGATTCAGCATACAAACTCCGTATCTTTGTAATGCAACCCATTCCTGAATTGAGCCCTCATTTTACGCCCGTACTTATACTGATCGTCGTGGCCTGTCTCCCCTAGACGAAACGTGGTCGGAAAGACTGCGCAGACGAATCGCCCGGTAGGTTGCACCTATTCCCCGTAAGCCGTACCTTCAGATATCAGATCCACTTTCGAGCCCTTCCCAAATAACGCTAACAACCGCTGAGTGTAAATAAAAAACTTGTAGCAACCTCCATTGCGGCTGTCACTTCCTTTGGACCGATCTCTGCTGCACTTTGCGTGGGTGTCAGTTCGTCCCCCTCATGAGTTTGCCATGGCCCCTGGGGACCCTCCTCAAAGTTTTTGTACTCTACATAATTCGATATTGCAGGCACATGTATTCACGCGCCTGCAATGTCGAATCATGTGACTCCCTTACTGCAAGCAATCAGCCGGTCAATACTTTTGTAGTGCACAGGCACTACAATGGAGCTTTGGTGTGGCCTCTAGAGGCCTAAAATCATGCAAAGGAATGGTTACTGTAGAATGTTTCACGGATTAGGACATTTTTAAATAGAAAGCAGCTTAATAGGATCAGAATGCTCGCCAGCCGGCACCAGCTTGGGGCTGGGCGCGAGGCCGTTGCTGT